CCCCAAAACCCCAAAACCCCAAAACCCCAAAAATCTTCATTTTCAAATTAGGGCGAAATAAATTTTTGGTATAATTATAGTTAAATGAGAGGAAGTATTTACGAATAATTGCCGATAACAGATTTGATTTAGAAATAAAAAGACTATCTTATTCATTAGCAAACTGTCAAGCAGGCATGATCAACTATGAAAGATAATGGATAGATCTCAAATTTGCTTAAAGAGTATCATATTAAGCGGTAATAAACTAAAAATTTTTAAGAATTCGAACAATAATTGTAAAAGAACTCAGAGAAGCAGAGATAATAATCAGTTTATAATGAAATAAGGCAAGGGCGACACCTGTCTGTTGCTTCATCATTAATTAATCACTAGGATATGCAATCATAATCTCCCGTGGCATTGATGAATTCATTAAATATAATAAAAAGAGTTCATGATTTAAAAGAAATAGATCAGCAGAATAAAATACTGATTGAAAAAATAGCAAACCCTAATAATTCAATTTCTTATAGAGATTAGGAAGAGCATTGGCAGAAAAATCAAAGAATTAAATCAATGATTAGCAGGACTAGACGAAAAGATCCAAAGCATATGAAGTACATAAGGGATAAATACCTTCAGAACAATTTTAGCAATATTGGGTCAATAGTATTCTAAGATGGAAGATCTGTTCATGAAGATACTAGCAAAAATGATAAAATTATCAGAATAACAGAATCTGATTTATCTTAAGAAATAAGTAAAGATTGTGATGAATAGGGGACTCAAGCTACTGATTATTACAAAAATGAAAAACCTGAATTCAATAAAGTACAGACAATGTAAATTTAGAAGGATTTTTCTTCAAATTTAAAAAATGGAAATGCTAAAAATAAGTATCAAGACCTTTCAAACAAAGACATAAAAGCTATAAAATCCATTTATTAGAATATACAGACGCCAAACTATGCTAAGCAGAGAGTTTAAAGAAATAATGAAATTTAAATGGATTCCTTCTACAAATCTGTTAATAATTCTTTGCTTATTGATTCTAGCGTTACTTCTACCACTGTAGAACTCAAATCAATTAATTATGACTCCTCCAAAAATACTAAAATTTTCCCAAACGTATAATTTAATGATAAAGGTATTTTAACTTAGAGAATACTGCCAGACCAGAAATAAGAGCTAAATTTACCATCATTATAGCGAGAGCAATTTTCAGCTGGTAGTATATAACTTAAAAAGAGACTATAACATATTAAATTAGTTTACGACTCGAACGAGTTCATAGAAAATGAGGCTTTAATTTAGAAAAGAAAAAACAGCCCATTTTCTATACATTAATCTAAAATAATGAAAGACAGTTAATATGGTACTGGATCTAGCATCTCAAATAAAAATGATAAGGAGACAAATAAGAACACAACATCTTACAAAGATGCATTGTTTAGTAATTTTTCAACTTCTAATAGGCTTAGTAGAATAGGTCAAGATAAAAGAAATAGAAATTTCTAAAACTTAAACTTAAGTAGCATGGTTTCACATCGGAAACTCAACTCAGGTTCAGCGAGATATGAAGTTTAGTAGCCATCTGAGAATAGTGGTGGATTTAACCAATCAATAATTCTTCGTTTCAATGCAAGCCCACTACAGGAACAATAGCTTATCAAGAATATGCAATATAAAGAAAGAGTTTTACTTGCAAATGAAAAGAATATTTTCAAGAAATAGTATGCAGCCGCAAATTTGCAAAACATTGAAGAGAAAAACTAAGACATTAAAATAGAAATCTTGCAATAGTCTTTAAGAGAGTCTTAAAAAGGAATAAGAAGATCATTTGATAACCTTTAATATAGACAAGGAAGTTTTAAACCAGTAGGAAATAAAACTGGAAATATTAATATCAATCAGCAAAGTTCCGATAATCTCATTGATGTAAATGAAAAGAGATTTCAAACAATTCAACCTTGATAAAATAAATATTCTTAAGTTTTAAATAATAATATCAATTAAATTTCAATTTAAAAGAACAAACCATACCTTTTGATGTTCCTAACAAAAGCCTATTTGATTTATAAGAGAAATCGATAGTCTAAACACCTCCAGAGAAATCAGTAATACTGAATGAAGGTTTAAAGCCACCGAGCAAGTTATTCTAGCCTATTGATTCGCTATTTTGTTCATCAAGAGGACTTTCAAAAAATCTAACTTCATTTCTACCTCCTGTAGCTGCAGTTGCTATTAGTTTGATTCCAGACTAACTCATTTATCTATAGAACTGAGCGCCATATAGAAGGCATTCACTGAAATAACCAGATTATGCTGTTGAGTAGTTGTCGAATTCGATAAATTATAAGACTTTATTAGTCTTTCTTAAGTCAAATAGCATAAGATTTTTCTAATTTCTATAATTACCGGCAACTAGTAGGTTTTCACAAACATCAATAGCATCGCCACATACATGTGTTCCAGAAATTATTCCAACTGAACCACCTTCTCTTAAATCATTTATCTAGACTGTATCATCCCAACCAGAGGAGTATAGTATATTTTCCTCAGTATTAGAAAACTTTAAAGCATAAACACGATTAGTGTGACCAGGGAAATTCCTTCCAGTTGGTTTTAATGTCATCAATAACTCTTTGTCAGGTGAATGCTCATTATAAATTTTAACTTTTGAATCATTACCGGCAACTGCTAACTTTTCAGAAGTCAAGTTAAAGTCTAAACAATTTAATGTAGTGTCTATATTGGTTGAATTTTATAGAAGGGGATTAGTACTCTTTTTTTTCTTAGGTAGTCCATTTTCGTCATAATAATCTTAAGTTTATTAATGTAAATCCTCTTCTGGAGGCAATATCTAATTTACACATTTGTTTGTAGGAATGTGCCAATATTGAATCCTTCCATCTGTGGTAACACAGACTATCATATCTCTAGAATGAGCAGGTGCACCATGTGACTATCCATTGATTCCAGCTGGCTTGAATCTGAACATGTTTATTGGTGCCTTTTACTCCTCTGAAGCAAAGTTATTAACAAAAGTCAAAGAGGATTTTCCTGTTATCGAATTGAACACTCTTAAAGTTCCATTAGTATATGAAGCTCCAATATATTTGTCTTGCTCATCGAATCTAACACATAGAGTTTCCACTCCTTGTCCATGATACTAATTATCAGTAAATTCATGTACTATTTCTTGGAGGTTAGTGTTCCCAGAACTTTTTGGAGGAGGTTTAATTCTAAATACTGATGATTGTGATTGGGAATCTTTTCCCGGTGCTTATTCAACCATTCTAATTTTAAAAGTCTTAATTAATAAAAATCTAAATCAATCCTAATAAAATAGCTATTTATGACTGTGGGGTTTTGGGGTTTTGGGGTTTTGGGG